GGCTCGCCCCCCTGCTGCCAGCTCCCAGCGCTGGTCCTGCGCTCTCTCCCCTTCTCTCTCTGTGTCTCCTCCTCCTCCCTGACTCGGTGTCCCCTTCTCCCCAGCATCTCTCTGCCAGCCCAGGCCCCCTCCCTTGGGAGCCCCTTACCCCCCTGGGTGCTGCTGGCTGGGGGGTAAGAGAGGCCCCCCACTTCCCCATGCCACGTGTCTCTGATTCAGTTTGTCCATAAGGTGCAAATCTACCTTGCCTTGTGCCTGGGCTAAGAGTGGCAGGAGCCCCCCCCCGACACACACCCACACACACCCCGCTGCCAGCAAGAGAGGGTGGCAAGAGGGTGGTGTTCACCTCGTCCCGCCCCAGCCCGGGCTGTGGAGCACCTGCCCCGTGCCAGCTTGGGGGGTGAGGTGGAGAAAGGGGGTAGGGGATCCACAAAGTACACCGCACGCCTGCTGGGGCAGGGTCCCTTGCCCCCACGCTCTGCCCCCAGGCGCGGCCACCCATCCACCCAGCAAGGATCGCACGGCCTGCCTGCCGCCCTCTGGCACGGGTTTGGCATGGGGATGTGGCATGCGCGGCTCAGGGGGCCGGGTAACGACGCCCCGGCCTGCACCGCTGGCCAGCAGGTCGCCGGGGCCAAAGGCCCACCCTGCTGCCAGGGGGCTAAAGGGAGAGGCATGGAGACGGCCAGACTTGGGTCAGCTGTCTGCTGGGGTGAGGGGGGGGACACGCTGAGACCCCTCAGCAGCTGGAGGGAAAGGTTGCTCAGTGCCTGGAGCACCAGCTGGGCATGTGGAGACTTGGGTCAGTGCTGTGCTCTGCCACTGCCCTCTTCATGTGGCCTTGGGCACCTCACTTAGGCTCCCAGTAGCTCCCCCTGCTGCGAGGATACGTATGAGGGGCGAGCAAGCTAAGGCTTGCAAGCTCCCAGCCTTAGCTCAGCGCACGAGTCCCTCCATTTCTCAGGCAAGGCTGTCCTTCCCAGAGGTCCCTGCCCTGGCCCCAGCGTGCCTGCCTCCCTCGCTAGCTCCCTCCCACGAGAGACGCTCACGTGGTGCCCGCCCGGCCCAGCCTGCTTGCCTTGTGGAGGCACGGTGCCAACAGGCCCTGCCCCGCGCCACGCCAGTCACAGGAGCGTCGAGCCCCCCCCCAGCTCCTCGTCTCTAGCAGGCCCGACGGGTCTCATCATGGGATTTGGGGTGCTGGGAGTCTCCCAGCTCCCTGCTCAGGGCAACGGGCCCCCCACCAGCACCCAGTTCCCTGACTTGTCTCTCCCCTGCCGTGTTTTACTGGGCTGCTAATCGCCGCACCACGCTGCGCAACTGCAGCCGGGCCTGGCTCCTTGGGCAGGGGTCTTGCCCCCCTCCAGCAGCGCAGATGGCCAGGCTGGCCGAATGGGCTGGGACCCGGGGGCAGGGGTGTGATGCATCGCGACGCTGGCTGCGGCAGGGCCGAGCCTCTCTGGCAGGGCTGGAGGATGAGGAGAGAGTGCTGCCATTTCCCCTTGCCGGCCAAAAATGGGCCTTTTGGCGTGGGCCGAAACTGAGGAAGGCTTCTGCAGGGCTGAGCAGCAGACCTCGCATCCCCCGGGGGCTGAGCTGAGCCCCAGCGCACTCGTTTCATGCAGGCAGAGCAACGGGTGGAAGCGACGGCTGGGTGCCCCGTGCCCGGCGCTGGAATTAGCAGCGTGGTCCATCGATCCGCAGATCCAGGCTGCAGCCCCTGGGCGCTGCGATGCCTCTGGATGTCTCCTTTGACTAGCCGAGGAAGACGCGGGTCCGGCGAGTGCAGAGGTCCAGGATTTGAGCCTGCATCCTGCCTCCCGGAGATCAAAGGGGCCGGACTGTGACGGAAGACCAGTCTGGAGGCAGGGGAGGGGACGGAGGAGGAGAAAGGCCACAGGACGTGAGGCGAGTGTCATGCTTTCCCCCAGCACACAATGTTCCCCTTCAGCTCGTGTGAGTCAGCGTTTCCAGCCCCAAACCACGGAGGACGGTGGGCCGGCCGGGCTGCTAGGTGCCATGCCGAGGTGCATCTCCTCCAGCCGCCTGCGCCCGGCGTGGGGAGCGGGCTGGCCAAGCTGCACGGAGAGCACGAGCGAGCACCGGGATGAGCGACCGGCTCCCTTTGCCAGCAGCCTGGCACCGTCCCCGGGATGCTACTGCCTGCGCCCTGAGTCTGCCCAGGCTGCCAGAAACAGGGCCTCTGACACCCTTTCCCGCTGGATGCTAAGACTGAGCCAACTTGTCTCACCTGGCTTCCCGGTGGCAATGGCCTGCAGTCACCGGGGCTAACAGGAGACAGCCACCTGCCCGCAGAGCTTCCCGGGGCACGCGGCGGCCTCAAATGGTGCTGCTGGCACATGGCTGCAGATGGGGCAGGACCTGGCAGCGCTGGCCCGCACCTGAGGCTGGGCCGCAGAAAGCCACACCAAGCCATCTCCCCTTGCCAGGGCAGCGCACAGCCCCACAGGCACCTGGCATCACGTGGCGATAGAGCCACGTGGTGGCCCCTCTGTGAGGCACGCATGGGAGTCCTGGCACGCTCCGCAGGCCACATGAAAGCAGCCCCGTTCCTGTAGCGCTCTGCCAGGACGGTGGATGAGTGAGCTGTCTCCCCTCACCACGGGAGGAAGGGGGCGGGTCGCTATCCCCATGCTACAGGTGGGGAAACTGAGGCTGGCTAACACCCGTGCTTAGCAGCAAAGCTGGGGATGGAGACATACAGTCTTTGCTTCCCTTGCCAGTCCTCACCTACTGCAGCGAGAAGCGTCAGGTTTGAGTCTAAGCCCCGGCTGGGGTTGCCGAAGCGGCGGGGCGGAGCAGGCCGGTCCCTTGCAGTGGTCCAGCTCCCGGGTGGCTCTGCCGGGCTCTGGGCCGCGGGCGGCCCGGGAGACAAGCGTTTCCCAGCAGGGCCTCCTGGCAGATCTCAGATGAGATAGAGCTAAAAATAAGCCGGCACGATCCCAGCTGTTTTGTTGCTGACTACAATGGCTGGTTATATTTTTAGTTGTTGTTGTGGAGTCCGCAGCGGGGAAGCTCGCCCCCCCCCCGCCCCCTGCACGGCCTGGCCCCTGCGCCCCCGCCTCCGGGACACCCGCCTCGCCTTCCCGGGGGGAGCGGGTCGGGCAGGGGAGCTGTGGAAACGGTAACGCTAGAAACGAAACACAACAGCTCACCTTCCCTCCCCGCCGGCCTCGCTGACTCACGCGGCCCGGCCCCTCTCCCACTCCTTCCCGCCCTCCCTCCCTCCCACGGCATCCCCGACCCCCGCGCGCAAAAGTCCTTCTTCGACTCCGGGATCACTCGTGCCCTGTTTATCCACCTCCCGCGGGGTTTTCCAGACCCCCCTGCACACGCACAAGTCCCCAACCACAGGCTGCGAGCGCCAGGAGTGCCGAGAGTCTGCCTAATCCCAGGACTCCTGGAGCTGGGGCTTGATGGAAAGTGCTGGGGGTGGTGGACCCCCAACACAGCCCCTGCCTGTCACCAGGGGGGTCCAGCAGCTGTCACAGCCCAGTGCCAGCCATGTTTAAGCTCAGCAGCCCTCTCCCCCGACCCCGAGCTGACGGGTGAGCTCAGCTGTAGGTTGCTATCTGCTCCCAGCGTTCGGCTGAAGGAAGGATCAAGAACGGCCGGGATAAAAATAGCCATCCCAGAGCAGGAAGATCTGGGAGCCCGGCTTTCAATAAGCAGGGCTGTGTCCTCTTAAGGACGCGACACACCAAGGAGAGGCCGCCTGCCCCAGCCCAGCCCTCCCGCTACCCCCAGTGCATGCACCTGCCACAACCCCCAGGTATTCAAAGCACCAGGTTCTTTGGGGGGCATCTGGATTAGCCCCCAAAGACGAGGAGAGACTGCCGCCCCGCTGCTCCCCCAGACCTCTGAGCCATGCATGCTGAGCCCCGCACCAAGCAGCAGGCGCCTTCCACCCCAGCCAGCCGCCACGTTCGTGGCCCCTAGGCTTGGGCTGGCAATGGGGTAACAACCACAGCCTGTTGTCGGACTGAGCCCTCCTGGAGCAATGCCCCCGTGGCTCCTGCCAGCCTCCAGAGCCATCGCCACTCACCCAGGGCCTTCCAGCTCCTGCCAGGCTTCACCCGAGGGGCCGTCACTCCATCACCCCCTGCTGCCATCTCCCTTGGGTGCTCAGGAGTGGGGGACCCTTGCTGGGGTGGGGAGGAGGAGGCAGCCACGTGGGAGTGGAAGGGAGGGTGATTGGGAGCAAGACTGTCTGGGACGTGCTGGTGGGTTCCCAGCACAGGCCAGACGCACACCGGGCTGGGGGTCTGGAGCTGCAAACCCCGGGCTGGGAGGTCCCTGCCGGACCCCAGCATCTGTGAAGCCAAGGCAGCCGTGGGGCCTGCCGTCTACGTGGCCGGTGACGCCACACTTTCCGGGTTGCTCTGGCTCCTGGCAGGCTGCAGAGGCAGAGCCGGGTAGAGCAAGTCTGGACAATGTCCCCCGCGGTCACCCTGGCACTGAATCAGACCGGGGGGGCCAGGGGAGGACGACACAGAGCCACATGCCTCCCGGACCCGCTCCCCATCCATGCCCACCCCAGTGCCCACCACGGGGAAGTGCCCACCCTAACCCTGCCTTGCCAGGAGCCCCCGGGAAGTGGGGGAAACTCAGACCCGATGCAGCGATTCTTTATGAAAGGGCGAGGAAAAACCCATGCCGCTTGTAGTCCCCAAAATAAGGTACCTGCCAACCTCCCCCGTGTGGGGGCGGGAGCCAGGCCGCTCGCATTTGACTATGTTAGGCTGTTCTCCGTCTGAGGGCAGATTACACTGGGGTCAAGAATTAATTAGCACTAGACTTTGGACCGGGTCCCAGGCATTTCTGGCAGCTCCCGGGCCCTTCTGCGTACACTGGCCCTTGTGCCCCAGGTAGCAGGA